AGACACCTCAGATAGGCGCCCGAATGCGACCTTTTGTACAACACCCCCTCGATAATGGCACATCGCGCTGCCTTTCGTCGTAGGCGCCATGCTTCTTTCGGGTCATCAGGCACCTTTCCTTGGGTGAGAAAGAGCCATATCGGAGCCATCCATCCTTCCCTTTCTCCAATCGTGATAGAGGCCATCACCATTTCCTCGTGTGGCACCTCCTTCGTCACAATCACTGTTCGATTCTCCTCAAAATCCAGGGCCGTTGCCAACTTCGACAAGGCATCCGCATGAGCATTCTCCTCTCTTGGAATATGTGTGAATGTCACGCCGCGGAACCAAGCGCACTTTTTGCGGACGGCCTCCACGTAAGCTCCCAATGTTTCTTCCTTTACCTCATACACCTCGTTCAGTTGATTAACCACCAATGCCGAATCGGTTTTCACACTCACTTTTTGGGCGCCTAGTTCTCTCGCGATGTGGAGTCCCGCAAGCACGGCCTCATACTCAGCAGCGTTGTTTGTCTTTAAGGTCGCAAATCGTAACGCCACTTCGTGTAGGGCGCCCAGTGGACTGATGAGTACCACCCCGGCCCCAGCGCCTATCCTACTCGCAGCTCCGTCGACATACACTTGCCAACACTCCTCCCCGCTGGCTCCACCGTCAATCACCCCTTCGGCCACAAAGTCTGCCAACGCCTGAGCCTTGATGGCGAGACGGGGCGCATAGGTTATATCAAACTCGCTGAGTTGCACAGCCCACTTTACCAGGCGCCCGGACACATCCATTGATCCTAGTACCGTCTTAAGGGGAAGGTTTGTGAGCACCACAATGCGATGAACCTGGAAGTAAGGCCGGAGTTTGTTGGCCGCCATCAAGACCGCCAGGGCCGCCTTCTCTATGGGCGCATAGCGCGTCTCATGACCCACCATGGTTCGGCTCACGTAATACACTGGCTTCTCCTCGTTCGTCAAGGGGTCCTTGGATATGAGGACGGCACTCACTGCGATTACGGACACGGCTATGTATAGGTATAACACTTCATTGGCCTTGGGCGCCGTCATCACCGTGGGCGCTGTGAGCAATCTTTTCAACTCCTCAAAAGCTTCATCACATTCGATGGTCCACTTGAACTTGGAAGCTTTCTTCAATATCTTGAAGAACGGAGCGCCTCGGTCAGAGGCTCTTGGGATGAAGCGCCCAAGCGCCGCCAATCTCCCCGTCAGGATTTGCACCTCTTTAGGCGTTCGGGGGTGGCCCAGACTCATGATCGCCTCGACTTGCTTAGGATTAGCTTCGATTCCCCTTCTCGTTATCATGAATCCCAAGAACTTTCCTGCTTCGGCCAAGAACACACACTTCTTGGGGTTAAGTCGCAACCGGAAGTGCCGCATTGTTTCAAATGTTTCTCGCAAGTCCATGATGTGATCCTGGCGCCTCTTGCTCTTTACAATCAAATCGTCCACATATGCCTCCAAGTTTCTTCATATTTGCTTGCGGAAAATCTGATTCACCATACGTTGATATGTTGCTCCGGCGTTCTTCAAGCCAAACGCCATCACTCTGTAGCAGAAGTTCCCAAAGGGTGTCATGAATGCTGTCTTGGCCATATCCTCCTCGGCCATAGGAATTTGATGGTAGCCCGAGAACATGTCCAAGAAACTAAGTGCTTCGTGATATGCGGTGGCATCCACAAGCAGGTCAATGCGTGGCATGGGGTATGCATCCGTGGGGCATGCTCGATTAAGGTTGGTGAAGTCTACACACATCCTCCAATCCCCCGAAGGCTTTGGGACGAATACCACATTGGAAAGCCATGTGATGTATCTTGCTTCTTCTACAAATCCTGCTTCGAGCAATCTGTCGACCTCTCGGCGGAGCGCCTCCTCCTTTTCTTGAGACAAGTTTCTGCGTTTCTGTTGTACGGGCTTTTTCCCTACTTCCACCGCCAGCCTGTGCACTGCCACGTCTGGAGAAACGCCTGGCATGTCTTGGGCGCCCCACGCGAATAGCTCCCCAAACTCCCGCAGTAGCTCGATCAGGGGCGCCTTCATTACTTCAGGGGCCTGTGCCGAAATTCGCACTTGCCTCTCCGGGTACCCTTCGTCCAAGGCTACTACAAGCTCGTCGTCCAGGGCTTCCGCCCTAGGCGCCTCCTCGAGGCGGACGTCGATAGTGTTGACCCTATGTTTGCGAGCGCGGCTCCTTGGGTCTTCTTCTCGGGCGTATCGTGGAACATTTCTTCCCCTGGAAATGCCTATGCCCTGGGGTGCTACGAACTTCAGCGTCTGGTGACAAGTGGACGCCACGCCATTGAACTGTGCTAGTAGCGGACGACCAAGTATCACATTGTAGGGCGATGGGCAGTCTACAATCCCAAACTCCACTGCATGCGTCACACAATGTGTCTCATCTCCGAGGGTCACTGGTAGGCGTACACGCCCGATGACCTGGGCTGGTGCACCGGAAAACCCAATTAACACCGAACTCGAGGGGCGTACCAACTCTGGCGCCAGTTGCATGCGCTCAAACGTGCTCTTGAAGAGGACATCCATTGAGCTGCCAGTATCAACTAACATCCTTTTCACTTTACATCCTGCGATCACCCCATGTATCTCTAAAGCTTCCTCTGACGGGATCTGGCATGCCTCGTCCGGCTCTTGATTGAAGTTGATTTGCACTGCTTCCCTTGCTTCAATTGAAGCGGATCTTAGGCGCCTAGACCTTTCCAACTTCTCCCTCAAGTCTACAGTGCCGGTTAGGATTCGACCGTAAGCCTGATGCGACTCGGCTTTCCCTCCTGGTTTACTTCAAATGGGGGGGGGGGGTGGTATCATCGGCTCCTGTGGGGTTTTCGGCCCTTCTGGCGCCTCTTGGGTCCCTGGGGCTTCGTGCGCCTTTGAGCTCCTCGTGGCCTCTGGCGCCTGTCTCGCCACGTACGTCCGGTGAGTCCTGTCTTCCGCCCTCCTAACAAAGTCATTGAGCATGCCTTTGTCGGCTAACGCCTGTAGTTCGGCTTTAAGCTGGTAGCAGTCGGCCGTGTAGTGCCCCTTGTCGCGATGAAAGTCACAATACCTATCAAGGTTCTTCTCGTTTGGTTGGCCGCGCATGGGCCCCGGCCACCGTATGTGGTAGCCCCTATCTTTCACATACTGTAGTACATTCTTTAGTGTATCATTGTATTCAGTAAAGTTGGCTGAGCTTCTCGGCACAGGGCGAGGTGCCTCAGGCCTTCTTAGCGGACCATAATTCCCGGAGGGCACTCTGGGCGCCTGCCTTACCTCCAACTCATCTCCCCTCAGGCGCCTCTTCTCAGCTCTCCGTGCCGCCAACGTCTCCTCCAACATGATTACCTTCTGCACCCTTCGGTCTAGGTCTTCTGTGGATACCACATCCCGCTTGGAGAGGACTCGACAGAGTTCTTCGCTCGAGGTACAGGCGTCCAAGCAAACTCCCAGTACCGCCGGTTGGACGTCTTTGACCGCCATGGCTACAGAGATCCATCGGTCGTAAAATTCTCTAAGCGCCTCCCCCTCCCTCTGCTTCACCTTGAACAATGCGCCTATGGTTAGTGTCCGGCGCTTCCTACTTGCAAACTTGGACAAGAATAACTCCGCAAACTGTTCAAAGCATTCGATGCGCCCCTCTTCGATTTGATGGTACCAATCTAACACTACGCCCGCAAACGTGGATGGGAACACCTTGCATAACGTGGCGTCTGAGCTGTTGTACAATTGCATCTTCGTGAAGTAGCTGTTCAAGTGATCCTCTGGGTCAGCCACCCCGTCGTAACTGGGTAACGGGGGAATTGTGGTTCCCGCCGGTTCCACTAGGATGCTTCGCGCCAATGGTTGCCTGACCCCGAACCGCTTGGCGATTCTTCTAGGCGCCCACAAGTCTTCTGGCTCCACCTGGGCATGCTCAGTAGGCATTTTCCAGGCGCGTGAACGCCTTGGTGCGTCGTGTCCTTGGTCAGCTTGGTACGGGTGCCCGTGCTGCAAAGACTCCAAATCTTCTCCCATCCTTTCTCGTTTCCTGACGCCCGGGCTATACATCATTACGTCCTCACTTCGCTCCCCCTCCAACTCCCTTCTGAGCGCCGCAATGGCCCGATCCTGGTCGGCTATAATTCGGAATAGCTCTCTCTTCGTCAAAGACTCCCCTTCCTCCGCCGATAGGCGCCCAGGGCTCGCTTCCCCTTCTGCCTCCATGCTCAACTCTCGGCTCGGTTGCCGCTCGCCTTCCTCATGGCTCGAATTGTCCAACCTCGAAACGTCCTCCCCGTCGTTCGCAACGTTCAAGTTTTCCATTTGCTTCTCCCCCTTCCTGGCGCGCCAATTGTTTGAGCCAAGTTCCTCCGGTCCCACCTTCCTCGATCTCTGCCCCCTCAAACTCAGTGCAGGCGCCTGGACCCTGCAAGGACAAGCGCCTAAAGGGCTCGGGAATGCCCGTTAGCACTCCGACGCCCAAGTCAGAACTAAGTTAGAGAGAGAAGTGTCAAGTGCGGTTTTAGTGTGAGAGACCAACCTGCATAAATGCCATCGACTGCCCCTATTTATACTCACCGAACCCGAGGTTGATTTCCGCCACGTCACCTCCCTCATTTAATGCTCTGCGCCCCCAGACAGCTAACTGTCCTGTCAGACTCCCGACACCTGACTGGCATTCCACAGCTCTGCCAGGCTCCTGACACATGACAGGCGCCCGCAGGTCGTGGTCCACCAGCCAGTTGGCCGCCACCTGGCTTTTGGTGCTCTGTGAGGCAGCTAACCACCCTGTCAGACTCCTGACACCTGACAGGCGCCCCCAGGCCGTGGTCCACCAGCCGGTTGGCCGCCACCTGGCTCTTGGTACTTTATTCTTGAGGTCCCTTCTCTTTTCTTGGGCCCGAGGGCCACTAGTGAATATTGGTTCTTACCTTTTGGGCCTTGCCCCCTAACTCCTTCTTTGAGGAGCCCAATCTCTTGACTTGCTGGGTAACACCCCCAACAATAAAGTTGGAGGATGGTATTATGAGATTGATGTAATGATATTTACCGGTGCTAATTATCTAATTCAAGTGTGAAGATAAAAGCTACTTGGTAAATATGAGAAACCAACTTTGTACATTGGCTTGGATCATAAAACAATTCCCTCGTTTGACCCTTTCCTGAAACACCAACAGAACCCAGAACCAAAGATAAGGAAGAAAAAAAAAAACAAGGAGAAACAATCGTATCAGAGGAATCTAATACATCTCTCATACTCGTCTATCTAAACCCAGTACAAGGAGCGCTGCCTGTCTGTCCAACAGAGAAAGAAAGTAAGAAACACATAACATCCGAAACATAGTGCGTGCTTCTCAAGTAAAAAAAGGGCCATCTAGGGTCTAAAACGATGCCTGAAGCCAGCCCTTCTTCTGGGCATACTCGACGTAGAAGGCGTACTTCTCCTCCGCATTTGGTATGTCGAGAGCGAGATCGTCGAGCCCTTCCTTGATACGAGTGAACCCTTTCGTCATCTGGTTGGTGGTGATCAGCGCTTCGTTGAAGCACTCCTGGAGCAGGTCCAGCATCCTGTCGTTCTTCTTCTCCATCGCCATGATCAGCGCCTTCTTCACCACCTCGTGGTTGAAGAACGGCATCCCCAAGTCGCGGATGCACTGGCACGCCTCTCCCACTCCGCCACTGCTATCGTACTCCTCCAACAACTTCGTGATCTTGTCCTTTGCATCTTCCACGGCCCACCCGGTCCCGCCTCCCCAACACCTCAGGAGCCTTTCGCCAGCGTGGCGGGCAGTGATGAGAGATCTGGCCATTTTCACAGTCTCGCTCCCGCTGCTGTTTGGCGGCAGCTGGCCACCTATCTCCTCTAGATTCAAAGGTACCAGCACGTCATCTATCACGGCCCTGGCTAGAAACAAGGCCAGCTCGTTCGAGGCATCCAGGATGTCGAGCGCGGTATCTTCAGCTGATTCCAAGAGCATGACAAAGCCATCAACTATATCTTCTGTGGAGAAGATCTCTATGTGAAGCGCCGAGAGCAAAACAGATGCCATCTCTTTCTCCCTGTTTTTCCTGTCCATGGCAAGGGTTATAAGCCGTTTCAAGAATATCGGATTGTACTTCGGCAAACCGAGATCTACCAAACTCCTGATCAGTTCAGGGATATCATCGGAGTCGAAGTACTCATGGATAACTGCAACAACCTCCTCTTTGTAGCGCTTCAACTTCGCGGCTTCAGCTTGTGGTTCCCTATCTTCACCTGAATTGTTTGAGAAGGAAGCATCCAGCCATCCTTCTGAGATGGCTTTAGAAACGATAGATTGGAAAAGGGGTCTGGCAGATGGAATGTCGAGTGCAAGGTCATCGAGGCTCTCTGCCAACCGAGCAAAGCCTTTGGTCATTTGACTAGGACTTATGAGGCCTTCCTCTGAAGCTTCCTTCAGGAGCTTGGATATGAGTGGTTCAGCAGTTTGGATCTCCATTGCAAGAACTAAAGCTCTCTTCACAACTTCATGATGGAAGAATGTAACCCCTAGCTCTCGAATGGATCTACAGGCCTCAACAGCATGTCCACTCTCGACATATTCCCTCAACAGACTGGCAATCTTCTTCTTCACCTCTTCAACAGTGTTACGAGTGCTACCACCCCATCTATTCTCCACAAGCTCAGCATGGTGAGGAGCTGAAAGGTAGGATTTTTCAGCAGTCAATAGAACCTGAAATCCCTTCGACGCTTCAGGAATAGTTTTCTTTGCCCGTGGGAGAAAAGCAGGTGGGAGTATCTCATCAACCACGGCCCGCGCTACAAATAAAGCAAGGACATCTACAACATCCAAGATATCTACAGCAAGGTCATCAGTAGATTCGAGAAGTATGACGAAACCATCCCGGATTTGTGCAGGAGTTATAACATCAGCATATAGCGAGGACAGTAAAACGGAAGCCATTTCCTTCTCCTTGTCGTGTCTATCCATGGCCATGGAGATGAGCCTCTTGATAAAGTATGGATGATATTGACTGGCTCCAAGTTCTCTGAGGTCTGATGCTGCAACTTCTACATCCCCAGTACTGAAATACTCTTCTACAATGGAAGCAACGGCTTTCTTGTAGTCATCCAAGGGATCAGATAAGGTAGCCCCAACGAGTTTATAGGGTTCCTGGTCAAAATAACGAATGTCAGGAAGAATATATCCCATAACTTTGCTTCAACACACATGAATAGCTCAACGTATGAGTTACCTCTCCACTGTCATAATTAGGATCATTGCGATCAATATGGATATCACCCTCTGTATCAAGAAGCTTCCCCCATGTTCCCTTGCCACCAGCACCATCTGTTTCCACCACTCAATAGTAGAAATAGTTAAGTGTGATTGTAATAGCTGTCGAGTTTCAACACATCCGTACAGAAATAACTGAAAATTGTATCAAGCAAGTAGTAGGAAAAGCAAAAAATTCCACAACAGAGAGGATCACAAATAGATGAAAGAGATTTGTCCGCCTCAATCATTTCACAAGAAGAAACTCAACCACAAATGAAAGTCGAAATAAACTCAACCAGAAGTTAATCTTAGGCCACACCAAAACTGAAAAAGTACTAAGAATCACTCCCATCTCCAGAACCCTACTAACAAATGATAACAGTAATAGAATAAAAGGCAACAAAATCAGAATTTCAGGCAGCTTTCTCTGTGTCCGTGCAAGTAACAAAATCACAGAGGCCCAAATCATAATGATGAAGACTCACCCTTCTTTGCTCTCCCGTACTTGCCAGAGTGCGATCGCTTTACATGCCTGCCACCAGCCCCACCTGTGGATGCTTTGCCAGCACCAGGAACTCTCACGAAGTGTTCAGGACGCAACCCTGAAGGGGATTTAGGTGAAGAGGACAAGCTTTTAGGCGGTGAAGCCAAGTTGTCTGCGTTCTGACAGGCAAGTTTTAACACTTCTCTTTGCTCATCAGTTAGAAATCCCTCATTCGACGCCATTTACACAACGAATCCTGTACAATACCTTCTGCACTTCAAAAAAAACAAAATAACAAAACAAAAACAGAGAGAAATCAGTTAGGTTCTAGAATCACCAACACGTCTTCGATGCATCCACACCATCGCCAACAATTAAAACTCCTGTCCAGAATCGTGGCGGCCACAGTGAAACTACAATGAACAATAATAAACCTGGACTCTCGATTCGCAACGATCTGAAGCTCAACACGGATATCTAAACATCTGGAACTCCACCTTGCCAAAACAAAAACACTCGACCACTAAAACACACTTGCGCTCTCGCATTTTCCCCCTCTCAAGCAACCATACAGATAACCACCGCAAGATAAAGAAAACCAGTAGCAGATTAAACAAAGAGAAAGAAAAGACTTGAGAGAAATGCAAACTAATACCTCTGCCGCCGCAGTCAGCTTGCCGAGTCTGAAGAGAGGAGCGAAGAAAGGGAAGTGAATCCGGAAACGGTGAAGCGGTTCTTCTGTGCTTGGCCCGGGATCTCGAGCCAAGCCAGGAAGAAACAATCGGGATATCCTCCACGCCGAGACAGAACTTCCGATCAGAGCGCGCAAAAAAAACAAAAAACGAAAGCAACGGCCGATTCAAATCTAGAGAGAAAGGAAAAAAAAAACCCTAGATCAACGGGAGGATCTCTCCGGATTCCTCCAGGCTCCCGGGTAATGCTCGCCGGAAGAAGGAGACTAGGAGCGAGAAATCAGCAGAGCAAGCGTTCCCGGAGGAAAAGTGTTCGTCCCAATCCGTTCGATAGCGATTCGAGAAGAGGAAAATGGACAGTGAAGAAGGAGAGAGATAATGGATGAGCACGAAAAAAAAACGATGAGAGGGAAAGAAAAAGATGGTGTGGTATTTATATGGAGGCCGCGGTTACAAGGTACACGTCATCGAGAGGTTTTTGGGAGACGTTATCTGCCAATGTGTCCACGTGGCATTGGCTCTCTTCATTTTTTTGGCGAGTCCTGGCTTTACACTCGGCGGGCGCCCCCAGAGTTAGGGTTTCTAGCTTTCCGTGAACGGAATTGACCCAGAATTACCCATTTACCCTGCTTGCAGCTTGCTTGCCCGGAAAATGGAAAATTAACCTCGACAGCCATACATTTTTGTTGTATTTTAGTTAATCATTTTAATCGCTTAACTCATATACTTTGATTTTGTAAATATCAATTCAAACCCATCCAAATAATTTAAAACCCTAATAGTTTGCTTAAGATCGGAATATGTAGGATGTATTATATTTTTTTTAAAAAACTAATCCAACACAAACAGTGGATTGCCTAACTTGCTCATGAATGGCGTGATATGAATAGCTTAATGAGAACTTGTCATTCTTAGTGTGCCTCCAAAACTTGTAATGTCAGCCGATAGCAACAAACACCCCTGAAATTCAAGTTTTTGTTTATATATTAAGCTCAGTTACATAAGGTATGAATTAAAAGTTAAATAGAGATCATAAAACAATGTTTTTCAAAAAAAAATTCCTAATTATCAAAGATCTTTTATTCAATTCACTATTACATTACAAAAAATTCACTACTATAATTTTGTGCCAAGGCGGTGCAAATGACCTACCTTTACCTCAAATGGCTCCATATAACTAAGTAGGTTAGTAAATGCGAAAGTTTCATTCTCCTTGGGGTTTTGGAAAATCACAATTGAACTTTTGAGATTTTTTCTTCACCTTCTCTTTCAATCTATTAACCTAATTGAATGACGACACGACAAGGGGGGAAATTCAAGCAATCTCTAATTCAGCCTAATTATAAACAATTGTGGCACAACTCCTAAGAGGGTGGTGTGTGAATGAAAAAGATGTGATACTAAGTAGATGACCAGCGAGAGAGAGGCCATCCAGGTTGGGTCAATCGCTTGTGAAATTTGAGGATATGAGAAATGGATGACTATCTTCGTCGCTTGTGAAACTTGGGGGAAAGAAAGAAATAATTTTAGGGGAGATTAAGCAATGACAGAGGAAAGAAATAATATAAAGGACATGGTGGAAGTTGATTCATGAAAAGAGGCAATGGCATAGTTGGAATTTTTGGGTGGAAAACGAGTCATTTGAGTTTTGCGTTAGAACCAAATGTCTGGTTTACTTTGTTGTTGGCATTATTTTTATTATGAATTGGTGTTGTATTATTTCATTAAAAAAACTAATGTGTACTATTAACAACCTTGGCTAGCTAAGTGTTTCGAGTATACCTAGAGCCTAAAATCCACACACTCTGCCTACTATTCCCATTCAGTCCACACCAAAAAATGGGCAGTTTCACCACCACTGCTCTTCTCCTCTTCTTTGATTTGAGCTAACAGAACTTCGGTAGATAAAGCACCACATAACATCTTCTTCCTGCAACGCTCTCTCCAAACTTAGGCCCCATTTAGTATTGTTTCTTGTTTTTGTTTTCTGTTGTGTTTTTAAGAATTGGAGAAACCAAGGAGAAAAAATATGTTTAGTTGGGATTCTATTCTCTGTTGTGAATCAGATTCACACAACCATACCCAAATCAGAGAAATAATATGTTTCGTCGCCCAGCCTCGCACTGCCACTCCCCTGCCGCCGACCCTCTCCTTCAACGACCACTTCTTCCTCTCCACTCGTCCCTCCCCCGTCAGCGACCTCTTCCAATCCTCTGACTCCCTCGACGTTTGTTGCCTTCTTGTTTACCTCCTGAGTCTTCCAAGCTAGAGGACCGACAAAAGCCAGGAGCTTCCCAATGATCTGCTCATTCCTCAGCATTCGTCCATCTTACTTGCATGAACCCACACAATTGTATGGTAATGTGAGGCAATCCAGAGTCCTTGAGGAACTTCTCTATGTAATACTCCATTAATGGAACCTCGTGATGCTTGTCACAATTGTGGATTGAATAGAACACGTATTACTGCACTCTCATTGCCTTCACACATTGTATAAGCACAACTTTCCCTTCCCAATCCACCTAAACACTAGAACACTCATGGATTAGGGTTTTTCGTTCACACCAAAGGGTCCAATTCCCCAATTTCCATCAATTAATAATAAGATATGAACTATTTCATGAATATAAAAATTATGAACATGAAGAAGGTTCGACTTTTGGGGTTAAGCTATCACTCACTGAGTTCAACGTCAGCTATGTAGTAACTAAACGCGTTTTTGTTTCTTGTTGTCAGCTTTCATGATTTTTTAGATTTATCAACTAAATAAGTTTGTGTTTTCTATTTTTTTCCTGTTGTGGTTGTACATTTGTTTACAAACACCACTGCAACCACAACAGCAACAAAATGATACTAAACGGGCTTAGCTTATAAGTGAAGTCTAGGTAACTTTTCCAGTAAAAGCCAACCGAGTCCTTTTCAAATAATGATGTGCTCTGCCTAGGTCTCAATTCTTCCCATACTCGTTTAATAGAAAATAGAGGCATAGCCACATAATTCCACCCTAACCACTCCCCATGAAACAGAAAAAGGAACCATCAAGGTTTTCAACCCGCGGGTTAACTCGGACACGTGTGAGCTAGTGGGTCAAGGGTTAACGGGTCACCCATTTTAGCCCGGAAATATGGAAAGAGTCATATATTGTACTTATCCTGATAAATTAGGGGGGGGCTATTTGGTCCGGTCCGGTTAAATTGACCCGAATTAATCCGATCCAGTCTGGTCTTTTCGGGAATAGAAGGACCAAAGATTGGATTGTATACAGTCCGGTCTTGATCCGATCCGGTCTTGACCCGGTCCGGTCCCAATTCGGTCTTGATTTTAGATTGAACTTGTGGGAATTTGAGTGGCCTAAGGACTCAAAGAGTGAGGAGTTGGTTAAGTTTGGGGTGTTGGGCTATCTTATCCAGTCTTTATCCGATTTTTTATCCGGTCTCAAACGATTTTTTACCTCAAATCTAAGCCCGAAGAATGGATTGGATTGTTTGCTATCCGGTTTTAGTCCAGTATCGGTCCGGGTTATAAGGTCCGGTTTTGGGTAAAACCAAATAGCCCGGACCAAATAGCCAGCCCTATGATAAATTATATCAAATTTCATCTAACATATGATTAATAACATATAACATTACACCAAAGTAACATGTCGTACTTAGATCCAACATCTAGTGAAAATTCACACACACTTATATAACATCAATATTCAAATGTTCAACTAAAGATTCCAAAGATTGAGTTAGGCGAAAAGAAAAATCGGAAAATAGGCACATTTCGCAAACCAAAGAAAAAAAACACAATTTGACCTCCAAACCGATACCTTATAGCGGTCTACCCGACGGATGCGTGCTACCCGTTTTTCTCACCGGGTCAGGCTTAAAGTGGGTCGACCGCAAGTTGACAACCTTGGGAACCATGAACTCTTTCCCTCATCTTCGGGATCTTTTAACAAACTAAGAACCAACTTTGCCTTCATAAGTCCACAAATTCCTATTCTTCGAGTGATATTCCTTGATCTAAGCAACCCACAAATACCCTTGATCAAGCAATATTGCCCAAATTTAATGAACAATACAAGCAGAATTTCAGGAACACATATCTTTCCCTCAGTGATATTCCTTCATCACTTTCTAAGGTAATATGGAGATAGCCATTCAGAATTGTGTAAAACTGAAAAAGATGGACATAATCAGTTCCAAACAACATGAGTAGCTAACACATGAGCTCTCTATCCCTCAAACCTTGGTTACCATCTTATTAATTAGTGGCCTAAAAGCATTTATAGTAAGCTTCTGAGCTATCAAAAGCACGCCCAACACACAAGAAGCCAGCTTTTGCTGCCAGTGCCACCGCTCAGGGAGTCCTCCATAGAAGATTTCACATTTAGTCAGGTTTGAGGTGAGGATTGACAATTTCCCAGATCGCTCAAGAACTCTCTAAATGCACCATACCCCATAATGTGAACCATCAGTAAAGACGAGTAAATCGTTTGCAAAACAATGGTCGCTAAAGCCCAATCCTTTTGCACATAGGGTGAAAATGACAGTTTCTCAAGATTGACACACTCTCTCATCATATTCGAAAAAACTTCTGTAGCTATAGCAAATAGGGAAGGTGACAAAAGGTTACCTTGCCTGAGTCTTTTTCTACCCGTGAGATACCCTACTGGCCCATCCTGAAACCCAATACTAAACATGGGAGAGGTAACACATATTACCAACCATCTCACAAACATGGGGAAAATCCTATGGTCGTTAGAACCGTTAGCAAAAAGCCAGTCAACAGAGTCGAATGCTTTTAGTAAATCAATTTCAAGAACACACCTAAAAGAAGCATTCTTCCAACTATACTTCTACACCAATTCATGTGCCAACATAATGTTATCTCCTATTACCCTGCCTTTGACCAAATTTGGTTGATTCTTATTTATCATATATGGTAGGAATCTCCAAGTCTAAGTGATAGTATAGTTGCGATGCATTTATACAAAGTATTGATTGCAACAAGCAATATCTGAGCATTTTTACCGGTTTTGACTATCGCTACCGGTGGTCTTTCAACAGATTTGTGTCCAATATCGGTTGAACCTGGTTATACCGACCAACGTACATGGACTGATGTCCGGACAAGATTGATAACATTTTAGCTGATGATAGATGAAAATTATCGTTTGATTATATGTTCAAATTTGTGTTACCGAATCGTACAAAATCATTTATAACCATTTTATACGAAATCCTAAATTTTGTGACCTTTTAAACTAACTACCCCAAAATATAAGTGATTTTCCATTTCATAATCTATCTCCTCACGCGTCTCTATGAGAAGTGATAACCATCTCCACTTAATCGGCTCGCTCCGCCAGACTCACCGGCCACCGCCGCCGTGCGCTATCGTACTTCCGGTCGTCCGTCCACCTTTCATAATAATCCAATTATTTCTCATCGCAGCAGCTTGCTAGACTCTTTTCTTCTTCTTTTCGCCTTTCTCCCTCGCTGTCTCCGTAATTGCTAGCTGTATATCACCGCGGCCGCATAACCGTGCGCATTCACGCCTCCGCCGAGCGTCCTTACACTCCGGCCAAAATCAAGCTCCGCCACTTGCACAAGCAACGCATGCTCGCTGATAGAATCCGCTTTTGTATACGAGAAAGCTCACTTTCCGACGGTCTCTCATATTCCAATGACGGACAGGGCCCGGACAAGTGCCGCCGCTCCTTCACAACACCAGGTGAACTTTCTTTGCAAGTTAGACCTAGGCCTTCATTTCTATTTCTCCATTGTTAGGTTTCAAATATTGTTGCACCAAAACAATCGGCCCTTTTCATCTGATCATTGCATCTTGTGTGATCTCGAATCTGCGGTTATGGCTGGCTGGCTAATATGTGAATGGCTACTCAAATCTTTAATTTCGATTTGATGGGTAACTCTGCCTTCGTTTATTTCTTGGAGAGGCTCAATCCCTTTAGCTGCATCATTGTGGTGGAAAATCTGAAATTTCCCCTCACCCTATGTCGCTGCCTGCCTCCTAATTTTGTAGCTCCAATTTCCGATCTAGGGTTCATGTTTTCAGACAGATGCTCATGAATCTTGATTCAGTTCATTCTTTTTCTTTACAGCGTTGTGCCAAGAGATCTGATGAACCGAGTGACAGGATCAGTGAACTGCACGATGAAATCCTGTGTCATATACTGTCTTTCTTGACACTGAAACAGGCAGCTGCTACTAGCGTCCTTTCTAGTCGATGGAGGTACCTGTGGCATCCATACATTGCCTCGACTCTAATGCTGCAGCAACCCATGAGAGAGGAGCTAGATTTCCACAGTTGCCTACTGAGCTTAGGTCAGCATCAAATAGCGGATGGTGCTAACGAGAACAACTAGAGTTCCAAAACTCGGGGACGAATTCAATAATAACTCTCTTTGCTTGACTATAGAGTATAATGATGTTATCGGCTGCTGGGCTCTTTCTGTTCTCTCGGCGGTTGGTTCGAAAGCATGAACTGTAGTTTCAATAAGGCTTTGGACAATGCAAGGCCCGACAAAAGTGAGTTCTCTATACTTTACCAGCACGACTTCTGGATTGAGTGATCCACTATGGTTCTATTTGGTCCTCACTCTAGAGATTGTGTGAGTAGTTAGGAGAAATCATTGAGCAGCTATTGTTAGTTAATATGTATGGTCCTTAAGTCACCAGCATTAAGTGACATGAGCAATCTGTTGTATTTTATAGTCGCTGGTCGGTCAACGAGCTTTACATACTCGGATGCTTCTTGTTGGTACTGAGTTAGAATGAATCGAGATATCTTTTTATCTAAGGATCCTTTTTTTTTTAATTCATGCTTCCCTAATGCCTTCTGAGGGCTTCGTAACAGGGTACATAGTGCCCCCAATAGGGATGGCTCAGAATGATTGCTTGATTAAACCAATCTCAAGGAATTGGTAGCAGCCTTAATACATACTTGATATGGTTGGTGTTCTTCATTTGCTGCTGTGATTGAAGCAACAACTTACTTACAAAAGCTTGTGGTCTGTGTTAGCAAGCTCCACAGGAAACAATTTATAAGCATCAGTTTTCATTCTATGTGTTCATCTTCTGATCGATCTGCTCGCCAGGAATCGGTTTTGGCTACAGTGAACCGATAGTGACGAGTTCCTGACATAACCAGATCTATTTTCTTGGTGTTTTCTTGTGCAGGCATTGTTTTTCCTCTTCGCTAAGAAACAGAAGTGAAATTTGTGTAGCTTTGAAAGACTGTCCAAGCAGGCCGCGGCACTTGTAAGTGTTGGACTTTGATGGGGAGCACTATGGTTGTGAGTCGTGACATTGAGTTCATGCAGCATCTCTTCCAACCGCACCATCCCCCATGCACTATCTTTTTGTGCTTGCTCGTCGTTCCCTGTGTAATGAGGATCCAGTATCAGAAAATGCGCAATCCCCGGTGCCCTCGTTGTAGTCCCAGCAGCGTGTACGCGAGAACGCCGCCTCCTGCATTCAATCAGCAGACACAACAACCCACCCAACTTAGCACCACGTGCAATCTCTCTACGACTGAATCCAACTGTTTCATCTCTGCTTCATGTTTTAGCAGCCATAGAACCATTGTTTTTACGTACCGATCATAATAGGTGTGCCTTGATTCTCAAAGTGGAGAGCCAGCTCTCTACGCTTTTCAGGAAGCTCGGCACCTGATCTGACGTTCATGATTTTGCAACTTACCTGTTTACAAAGCGTTAATCACATGATTACCAAGTCCATCTAGCTTTAATCACATGATTTTGCAACTTACCTGTTTCATCTAGCTTTAACTCTGCAACCAGAAGTTTTGTTTCTTCAGAAACTGGAATTTTCAGAAGTGAAGTCCCCATTCATGTGGTAAGGTTGCCAAGTCCATTAGCAAGTACCATCAAATTGCTTAACGTTTGAGCTAGTACCTGGAAAATATTCTGCAATTGGTACGCTGGCCTTTGGGGATTTCCTCTTCGAACAGAAATGCGCACACTTCACATCAGAAACTTCAGATGATTCATCACCCGTAGACTTCAAACCAGAGGATCCTGACGGTTCGCATGCCTTTTTCACTCGTACTAATAGGATCAACCATACACCACACAACCGGTTCGGGTAGCGCCGGTTTTCAAAATATATCATGGTTGTCAAACCGGTGGCATGTTAGCTGGTATAATCGATTTCAATCAACATCGATTGTGCAATCGGCTGGAATGTCCCTGGTATGACTGGCATGAGAAATTTTTTTACCTCTGAAACTAAATGACTGTCATTTTTGACAAATGTAATTCAAAAGGATTTGTTTCATCAACATTAGCAATCAATTATTTTAATCTTTATCAATGTTTTGTTACCCATGAAAATTTGCTTACGTGACTGCTGTCAAGAACCAGTCGGTCCCAATAACTCGAGTTGTTGGGAGAGGTTCAATCGTGGATCATATACCACAAGTCACAACACTAACACGCCCCCTCAAACGAAAGCCACTCACAAGGGCTTGAAGTTTGCACAGGTTTGAAGACAAGAATACCATGTGCTTAACAAATGGGGGCAATCGGGAATCGAACACAAGACCTCTCGGTTACAGAAGGCTCTGACACCATGTCAAGAACCAGTTGCTCCCAATAACTCGAGTTATTGGGACCGGCTGGTTCTTGACATGGTATCAGAGCCTAGAACCAAAAGGTCATGTGTTCGAATCTCCATGACCCCCAATATTAACCGTTGTCTTTCAAGCACATGGTATTGTGGGCCTGTGCAAACTTCAAGCCCATGGGTTGGCTTTCGTTTGAGGGGGCGTGTTAGAGAGTGGTATAAGATCCAGCAGAATCTTCTCCCAACAACTCGAGTTATTGGGAGCAACTGGTTCATGACATGGTATCAGAGCTGGTTTGGCCAAATGGTCATGTGTTCGAATCTCCACGACCCCCAATATTAACAGTTGATTAAAGCACAAGGTATGGTGGGCCTGTGCAAACTTCAAGCCCATGGGTTGACTTTCGTTTGAGGGGGCGTGTTAGAGAGTAGTATAAGATGCAACAGAACCCTCTCCCAACAACTCGAGTTATTGGGAGAAGGTTATGCTGGATCTTATACCACTCTCTAACAACGGCTACTTCATCCAATTTCGGCCAACATCAAAGGCTAGGGGTGTGCAACGGTTCGGTTCGGTCCGGACCGGACCAAACTCATGAGAACCGCGGTCCATTAGTGAAAGACATGTTAGGACCAAGGACCGGACCATTCTTACATTTGGTCCACTTGGTCCGGTTCGGTCCGGTCCAAATATGAGCTCGGTCCACCATTTCTTCAGTAATTATAAAATTTATTAGGACCAAGGACCGGACCGCATTTTACTCGGTCTGGTCCGGTCCGGTCTTAACAACGGTTTGGTCCGGTGTGGTCCAGTACGGACCGGACCATTGCACACCCCTATCAAAGGCAATGAATTTTCATCAAATGCTTGTTGCCGCAACAGCTAAACTGGGTTACAATCGATATGTTATGACTCTTGTCCATGAGTTAGTTGTTGAATATACACATACACAAAAATGCACGAGCTATTGTGTTCAATCTCTTCTTCCCCCCGTCTCCAACTGAAGATTTATGTTTCTTCACAGATATGAATGCATCACCTACCGCAGTTACTTACTACTCATACAACTACTTGGCCGTGCCACATGGAAGAACCCACCCTACTAAGGGCGACCTCTGACGCTCGTGAGGCACCCACCATTCCTGCAGATGTCCCGCGAGAGGTTAGCATATCTCCTTTTGTCGACAACATTTTCGAACAGCTAGCAAACGTTATGAAAAGCTGAAGCATCATTTACCTTGCGTCGGGGGGATACTGGCGTTCTCCAGCAAAGGGTAGCTGACTGATCTCTCAGCCTGATAGAGAAAAGAAAGAATGAACCACTTGAATCCAGAGCATACATTGCACATCAAGTTCTTACATGTGTTCAGCAATTTCACATCTCAAAAGTATGAAGGTCTTGAGTGAATAAGCATATAATGTTTAGTCCCAAGACTTGTCCCTATGAACTTTTCAAAGACAAACTACACTACACAGTTCCACCATGCTCACATACTTGGTATCATTCTGAAGTATCCATTCCTACTCGATTCTCTGAGATTGAAGAGTAATGATAATACAAAGAATAATGAGAGAGTAGGCGTTACCCGTTCTCACTTTTGGAGTTATTGGTGTCATAGTCACTGCCACAGACATAAGTACCACCGTCAATACAGGCATAAGTTCCTGCAGATTCTGAATTGGATATAGGCAACTGAAGGCTGTTGTCTTGCAGCTTGTTACCCACATAAATCACCCGAGTGTTATTTTCAGGCGAACATGACCTCCTCTGGAGTCCTAGCTTTCTTGGAAAGCAGCGTGATTGATCCTCTTTGCAATCTTGACTGAAACCACAGTCATGGTTACTCTCCCACTCTTTTTTCACAGACTCAGTTCCACATCCAGGGGTTTTTGGCGCAGCATTGTCCTGTAGTAATGATCTGTGAGATGAAGTTGTCCCCATGCTCAGCACATTTCCTTCGGCGCTTCGTAGAGCCCTTACCATTTCCAGCCTGTGATGACAACTCTCTGGTAAAACAACTTTGTCCTTTATCATAGGCTTTTCGGATGTAAGATCAGAATAATCAGAGTCGCTACTTCCATATGGAAGAGATGATTTGGCCTTCTTCTGCTGAATTCTGCGAGAACAATTGAACAAGCCAAAAGAAAGCTTCCGCAGTCTTGCACACCTCGACGTGGGAGCATAGAGTACAAGATTGATTCGGATTTCCACATTACATCCCAAAATTGATTGGAGGAGACTTGCTATCAGCTTCCATGACCTTTCAGCCTTCGAGACGGAGTCACGATGATGAAATTGTAATTCAGCAATAGCCAGGTCTGAGAAATATAACCAATAGAGTTATCATTGGTGAACTGAAATATATGCAACAACAATATGAAATAATCAGAAGAGACACCAATGTTTTGGTGCCTTAACAGATTGAGTGGAACATGCATGAAGACCCAAAAAAGGGAGACTCAAGTAACCAAATGGATTTAAACACAGCTTTTCCATGAAGCAGAATGCTTTAATAATGGTTACATTTCGAACACAAGCAACTAGAAACTCAGGAGATGCATTCAGAATAACTCTTCAACAGGGAGTATGCCTCCACGTTTAACCTTTAAATAGTACTAAACCATAATAAACAAACTCAAGACCTACAATGTTCCTGTGGTGAAGCATTTGTCATCTGATGTTTGTTTGAACACTTCAGGAACCAGGAGTGAAGCAATAACTCACCTTGATTAACTGAAAGAGCAGAGAGTTTCCCCTGTTTCCTTAGAAAACTCTTTAGAGAATTTGATCGGCACAACTGCGTAGCCTTATCCCATATAGATTCTAATGTCGCTTCCCAGTCCCTCTCTATCCCCAACTGATGCAATTTTCCACAAGAGCAAGGGACAATGTGTTTGTGACTCTCCCTTTCAGCAGCAGATGATGTACTTGAGAAGTCCCCATCTGAATGCCAAGGAAACAAAGTCTAGTTATAGTAAATGCACTCATGACTCACCAGAGAAATTTAAAAAATAAGCATATCATAAACCTCCAGGTTATGTAAGTTTAATATGCATATATCCTTGCCTTTTTCATGTGCACTCCTACAAGATGATTTCGAATCATTTGCACCCAGAGAATTTTCAAGAGAACTCAACTGTAGAAGAGCAACAGTGAGCCAAGTGCTTTGACTTTTTGACATCCTCAATTGTTTCTCAGTTTCAGAGAGTATTTTCAGTGCATTTCTCAATCTTTGCATGTCTGCTTCAGCTGTAAGACAAAACTCACTATCATAAGTAATTACACTTGAGCTGAGTATATATAGAAGGAACAAAGAATAGCAACATAAGACAAACCAATCAAGTGAGAAATGAATAGACAATTGATTGCAGGAAAACTCATGTCAATGTTTGGAAATCAAATCACTTAATCTGATTCTAGGGAACCACAAGCGAAGGCCTGAAATCAGAGTATTGGGTACTTACAAGCATGTCTCATAGAAAACCTTTTTCTCGCTTCAGAATTATCTTCTTCACTTTTACTTGCTAGTATGTCCATAATGAGATTGGCTAACTGCGATACAAGCTGAGTAGGATCAATCCTGGACCTCATCAGCTCCCTGGCCTTGATAACTGTGTTTGAAGTGTCAGACGACAGTGCTAAGTCCAGTAAATCAAGCATCTCATCATCCGAAACAACCCCAATCTGCATTAGCAAAACAAGAACAATTTTTAAAATGGCAGTCTTAAACAAAATGCACTAAGCTATCTACCTGTGCTATATACAAGTGAAGTACTCACAAGTTCATAGACCAGGGACACCGTGATTCTTTTGCCAAGTAAACTCAGTTGATCAAGCATCATTTCAGCATCCCTCAGGGAACCATTTGATTTAGCAGCAATGAGGTCCAATGCCACTTGCTCGAAGTCCAGACGCTCTTGAACACATATATCTCTTAGCCTGACAGCAATATCAGAATCTTTCAACATTTGAAAATGATACCTCTGAGCTCTGGCAACTGCACTTCTTGGCAGCTTATCCACATCAGGGGTGATCATCAAGAACACAACATGTTGAGAAAGGTTCTCCAGACTGTTCAAAAATGTTGACCAGGTCTCTTCATCCAGTAAGTGGCATTCATCAACAATCAAAACCTTGAACCGTGATGAAACAGGTGGGGTTTCTGCGCTCTTCATAAGGGATCTCATTCTATCAACACGGTTTACTCTCGTGGGGTCAACTTCTTTCACATCCCGGCTCCTTCCACTGAAAAACACAAGGCATTCCCTGCAAAGACCACATGGCTTGTGCTCCTCGAGCGATATGCAGTTCAAAGCAGCAGCAAAAATTCTGGAAGCAGATGTTTTTCCTGTACCACGTGGACCATGAAAGAGGTAGAAGGAAGTTACCCTGCCTCTAGAAATGGCACCTAGAAGAGATCTCACCACAACATTCTGTCCCACCATATCGTTAAAAGACCTTGGCCTGAACTTCTGACTCAAACTTCTTGGAGTCTCATTACTTGTGTATTTCCAGCGCCCATGAGGGCTAGCTTCATCCCTTGACAATAAAGGATAGCTTTCTCCACCAGAAGAATAAGGATAAGATTCTCTCAACCTAGGAGTCCTACTCCAGCAACATGTGATCCCACATCCACGTTCACTTTGAACTGCAAAGTTGGCATCTTCATCTTGATACAACGATGCACTTCGACTAGAGAAAGCCTCACTCATGGATAGGCTGGGACTTCCCACGCGGCTCAAAATATCACCTCCCAACGAAGATGGTTGTACATGATATTTGTGCCTGGATTTCTCTCTTGAAGCAGGAGGATCTCTGGTCTCCATTGGCTCACTGGTTGAATCCACATCCTCCAAAGGCGAGGCACACGCCAACTCCATTTGTCTCTCATATCTCTCAATCAGAGGTTGGTTTACAAGAATCTCCTTTGGGTTTGACTCACAATTATCCAATTCTTCAGCAACTTTCCCACCAGGATACGCAGCTAGGTCCCCCATATCAGTAACTTCATCCTCCTTGTGTTGCTCAAGAGCCACATTCCCAAATCCAGGAAACCCAACTGGAGACGAACCAACTGCATCACGATCATTCATGAGTCTTAAGGAAAGTTCGTGTGAGGAGGTAGTTTCCCAGTTGACATTTTCAAGTAAAGTGGAAAACTTGCTCATGGAATTGGTTGATGGGTCCCTGAGCGACCTCACTCGCCTAAGCGCCACAAGAGTCCTGGAGATTGGAATGTCAACTGAATGTCGCCGTCCATCCATCATCTCAACTTTATCAGTACGTATATTACTATCCAAAGCTGAGTTCCTTTGCGCCTAAAGTTTCATGATCCAATAATATGTATCAGTCCCATTATTCAACCTGCATCAAACAATGAACAAACATGCTTCCACATCAATCTCTTGTGCAATGCTTTAATAACAAACAGCAAAATCATAATAGTAGCATTGTAAGCTCAAGCATTCAGACACGACATCAGTAAATCAGGCATTGTTCGCCAGTTCACTAACAAATCTGAAAATCACTCTCATCCTCAAAAGTCAAAAACCCTTTTTAGATAGATGCTTTTATACAGAGCTTCCAGAGTAGTGGGGAAATGTTCTAACGCGAAAAAGCCCTAACTTTGATTTAAGAGGAGACCCACTATGAACCCAACATGCAAACAAAGGAACATGAGAGAAATAGAAGCAACAGAAGGCATAAACAACACATACATTGCAGTAACTTGCCATCCCCATAAGCAGTATTAGTCAGAACCCAGAAAAGGCAAACTGTCTTCCTCCAACTTTGAGCTCACAACAAGAGCAGAACGGCAAAGAGAAGAAAAAGGAGAGAAAGAGACAGAAACACCCAGCAAAATCACCCGTTAGTTAAGTACAAAGAAAAGAGCCACAGCATACAGAGCAAAGCACATTCTCCTCCCACCCAGTCCAAACACTGAACAACAACAAAAACACACAGACCGAAACCAAGAGAATCCAACGCACAACCATTTGATTGAGATTAAAGAGAAACCCACTTAAAATAAGCAGGTAAATTTGTTGTTCCCCCCCCCCCCCCCTAGAAATGTTGAAAACTAATAAAGGACAAAACTTTGAGAAACCCAACAAAATATAGTCCCAACACCCACCCACAGACACCGTATTCCGATATTCCGCCGTGAGGATTCTTTCTCTTTTCAAACGGGAAGCAGCGTGAAAGCTGGGAAGCCGAAGACTTAATAAACGTTAAAACCCTCTACGCCGTGAAACCTAATGCCTCGATCGCCGAGCTACGTAGAGGCTGAGCTGAACGGAAGAGTGCCGTAGACCGTAGTAGCTGAAACAGCGACCGAAGAAGAAAAACGAACTGCTGTTCTGGGCAATAGCAGAAAGTAGAAATAGTATCAGTAGTAAAGCCAGCAGCGGTGTTGAGAGGTTGGGTAATAATTGGCAGTAAATGAGATTGACGAAGGAAGGTGGTGTGTTAAACGAGCCCAACGAGTCATTCTTCATGTGACAGAAGAACGGGGACGGCGAGTGAATGAGAGATAGAGATAGATTCGAAAACAAACAATTTAATAATTATCAATAAAAATTAGATTTTTTTCCCCCCTTCTTTCTGTATGTTTGCAGAACTTTGCTTGTTCCTTGTTGCAGAGCGTTTGCAGAGAGAGATTAGGTTCTGCCCAGAGACTGTGAGCAGCTGGTTGGAGGTCAGTTTGGTAATTTAACGAAAAGGGTTGAATGAATCCTTCTCTGTTCTTCTGAGTTCTGACTCCTAGCAAGTGCCAATTCACGTTTTTACCTTTTTTTCTGCTACCTTCTTTTTTATTACCATTCTTTTGCTTTTTCTTCTGGGTCTGCTATACAAGTAGTGAAAACCGCCAAAAAGCTGCAACTCTGGCGACAGATGGTCGGAGAAGGAAGGTCAATAAATGTTTATGTTTCTCTCTCTGTTTTTTGGGGTGTCACGTGCCTGTCTGTCTATTGAAACTAAACAGTGACGAGCCGCAGAGGTGCCATACATACAGTGGAAATTGTCTCTAGGGATGATGATCTGGCAGCCCCATCACCAAGTAGGGGTAGTCGGTGTAGCCACGTCGTCGGTGCATAATAATCGGTGCGGTTTCGATTTAATCGTATTGGTTTTCAGTCACCAACTCAGTAGCTTGACTAACAAAACCAAGAAATTAGTTAAAATGTATGCAAAAAAGGGGTGGTCGTCGTCTCATGCCAGAACTCCCTTATAGTTTGGTTTTCATTAAAATCGAAGTTTCATGTAAAAACCTAGACCTCCGAACAACTCGCTATACATCGAACATGTGCAGGGGCTTAATATAAGAGTGACAATTACTCCTACTTAAGTCACAAGATTGTAAAGATATTGTAAATCCATTTGAGCTTTGCCAAAATAAAGCACAATAGAGAAACAAAAAATGGAAAATGGAAAATCATTTGAAAAATGTAAGAAAATGGAAGAAACATGAAATTGAGATGTTACGAAATAAAAATGTTCAAAAGAATGATCCATATTGTTTCTCGCTTTAAAGTATCTTCATTCACAATCATTTTTTTCCTAGATTTACTAGTCTGCATTGTACTGATACGAGGGCAATGTTCTTGTTGATGTGGTTAACATTTTCTTGTCTTTGGTTGACCTCGTAAGTTGTTAATACTTAGTACCAACTACTTAAAATCGAAACTCAGGTATCATAATGAGTATTTAGTGAGTTGCATAATTTTTTGAGTATTGTTTATATGAAACCAACAAAGTTTAAAGTGTGGGGTAACATGATGAAACCTAAAAATATGCTATTTTTACACACTTTCTTTTTGCAAATTTTACACCATTTTGACACACCTTTAGCCATTGTTTACTTGGATTGTTTTCCGTATGTGCTCAAACGAGCAATTTATAGCCTTTATGAGTTTTTACACATTTAATATCTTTTTTATATTTTTTTAAATATTTGTAGACAAAGGTATCATAGAAGATCATCATGTATGAGGACTAGGCATCATCAACCATGAGTCAGGAATTCATTTGGAGCAACCCAAAATAAGTGACCGTCCAAAGGACGATCCTTGAAGAGTAAGTGTCAATAGAAGTCCGAATGTAACACCTTTTGTGCCATGAGGTTTTCTCCATTATGTCCTCTAGTGAGACCCTCGTGACAGTAGGAGAGTATGTCTTACAATAAAGCGTTCATGACGTAGAGGCGAATCACGCCATCAGCTCTTATTCATAATAGATAAGGGTCGTCCCATAAGTAATGGCGTAGGTCAGAGAAAAACTTTTGCTTCTCTTGAGTAGTCGCCCCCTTGGGAAGTTGCTTGCCAACTAGATAATTTGCGAAATCAAAATACCATGGGATGACACTCTCGAACAAGCACATCATGAGGATTCTCTCATCTGGGAAATAATCGTTAATCTCCTCATCAAAGTTGTCCAAAGAAGGTCCTTCCAACATGGATAGATGATCAACAACCAAGTTTTCCGATCCCTTCTTATTAATAATCTCAATGTCGAACTCATGGAGAATAAGGATCCATCGTATGAGCACATACTTGGCGCTGACCTTGATCATCAGGAATCAAATCTACTAGTGATCAGTATAGACGATGACATGAAATAGGACCAAGTATGTCCATAACTTATCAAAAGCATACACAACGACCAACAACTCTTATCTAAGACTATCCACAATGGTAGAAGGGAAAAAAGGAAAAAAAGGATGGGAAAAGTGGGAAAAAAGGATGAGAGAAGGATAATGGCCACAATAGGTGGTAGGGAAAAAAGGGTATCGAGGAGGGTTTTTTTTTTCAAAATCAATCTAGAGTTAATATGGTAACTTTATTTTGATAATTTATTCATTATTTTTATATAGATAGTATTAATTAATTAAGACGAACATTTCAATATAACTTTTTTTTAATTTGGACATAAAAAAATTTATCACTAAAATCCAATAACTCATAAAAATCCAATAAGAAAACCATAAAATAATTTTTAAAAACAAAAAACAAAAAAAAAACCCACCCACATGGTCTCCCCTTTCCTTCCTCCTCCCACCCACATGGACCCACTTCCCCTCCTTCTTTTAACCTCTAGCGCAGGATAAACCCTCCCCTTCTTTCCCTTTTATCCTTTTTTTCCATAATACCCACCCCTATTGTGAGCCATCTTCTCCTTTTTTTCCCTTTTATCCTCTTTTTCCCTTCTTGCTGTGGACAGTCTAATATGATATAATTTTATTGGGCATCATCGTTAATGGTATTGGATGCATAATATATTGAATGGAAATGCTTGCCCCACGTCTTCCCAATAACTGCACCAACTGCATGGTCAGTGGCATCACACATAAAATCAAATATATAGTAGGTTCTAGTCGGGAGTCACCATGATTGATAAATGTGTGGGCATCTCTTTTAAGATCTCAAAAGTTGATGTGCACAATGCAGTGAAGTGAAATAGGACATCCTTCTCTAGTAGCTTCATAAGAGAAAGAGCAATCTTGGATAAATCTTTGATGAATTGCCAATAAAAGCCTCTATGCCTAAGGAAGTTGTGAATGTCTTTGACAGAAGAAGTTGGATGCATCTTGCTTATAGTCTCGATCTTAGCACAATCTACCTCAACCCCCTTCTTTGAAATTTTGCCCTAACACTATGCCTTCTCGAACCATGAAGTCGCACTTCTCCTAACTAAGTGTCAGATGTATCTCTTCGGATCTCTGCAGTACATTCTCTAAGTTTTAGAGATATTGGGAGAAGAATCCCCAAACATAGAGAAGTCATTCATGAATGCTTCCATAATGTCATCCACCGGTTTATCAAAGATGGCCACCATGTATCTAAGAAAAGTGGTAGGAGCATTGCACAGACTAAAAAGGAAAGCACATATAAGAGAAAGTGTCAAAGGGGCATGTGAAGGTGGTCTTCGCTTGGTTCTCCGAAGCAATAGAGATATGAAAGTAGCTAGAAATCCCATCAAGAAAGCAATAGATGGGTAGTGAAAAATCTCGGGCATATGATCAATGAAGGGTAGTGAAAAATGGTATTTCCTGGTAGAATCGTTCATTTATGTCAAGCATCACAAAATCAATTAGTATGTCAATTAGTGAAAAATACTTCAGTTATTCATCCTCAACTCGCCGTATGAGTTTCCCATTATGTAGACCAATTAGTACCTTGTCGGTGGTCATAAAGGGTCTACCTAGAATAAAGACCACATCCACATCTTTATTTATATCAAATATCACAAAATCAACAGGATAAATGAATGTACCAACTTGGACTAGCAGATCCTTTACAATATCACTAGAATGAACGATAGAAAGGATCATCCAATTGAATACTCATCCTAATAGCATTTGGTTCAAGGCTTGAAATATGGCAAACGAGGTACAAGCTAAGTTAGCATAAAATAGGCCAATAAACGACTAAAACCAAGCCAAACGACAAAAAAGTATAATTATTATAAAAACAGTTATTGAGATAATTACTACATATTCCTTTATTGGCGACAATTTAATTGCTTTTTCTTCTTAATTATGCCTTGGATTTATTTGATGCATGGTCTGTCTCACCTGTTGCTGCGTCCCTACTGCGTCCTGCAACAACACAAATAGATATACATAAGGTTAATATGATGATTCGTTTTCATCAATGGACACCCCACAAAAAGCAGAACCATTTCTGGTTCTATGTGCTATCGGGTCTGGAGGTTATGTAGCAATCTCAACATCACAATTCAATTATCATTAGTGAATGAAAAGATGAAAAATAGACTGATCACCAAGATTACAACAGCCACATATATGTACGTATACATGGCTTTATGTTTCGAGGTAGCGACTCTTGTCATGTCTCCAGGCTGTCGAGTTGTTTATTTTCGTCCTTTTCGAACTTCAGATGCAAATTATTCACCCATTTAATTTATTGGCATGATATGGTTTTTATTTTACCAAGATTACCAACTTTTATTCCACCAATCCAATGAAAGACGAGAAATTCAGTTACGAAATCTTAAAAAAGATCATAAACGAGGTCAAGAATATTAATCCAATCATCAGAAAGCGATGCTCTAGCTTTTGATCATGCAACCCAATCTGCTTTGACATTAAGTGTTCTAGGCATTCTTTGATTTTAATGAGAGGGTTTGTCCTAAGGATAGAAACAATCGAACCGATCCATGCTGCACACCTCCATGGCCATTGAGAGCGATCGTTATCTAAAGCTTTAACCAGCACCTGACAGTCGGATTGAACCGTACACTCGGATCCATATTCTTGAGCTAATTTCACTCCTTCAAGAAGGGTCTTGGTTTCTGCTTCAATTGGGGTGGAATAAAGTAGATCATCAGCTTGCCCATCACACACTTGTCCAAATTCAAATATAACACACCAGAGTGACTTCTAGGAAGTTAAAGTGTAGGTTGTTTTAGTCAAACTCGAATATTTGCTAGAGCTGGTTGTCAGGACCGCTCAATGAATCTTGGAGGTCTTACTCTATAATTGAGATGCAATCCAATTTGTTAGGATAATAAAATAAATGGTAATAGCATTGTTATTTAAACAATCATTTGAATTAAAACGATCAATTAACTCTTCACTTTTGTATTATGCAAGAAATCATTTTCAATCACCATCATCATTAATCTATTAATGATTTTTTGTGTCATTTGATAACACAAATAGGACTTTCAGAACATATATAGGACTTTAACGATGAATTTACATGAGAATATATACCAACGAATAATACTAGTATTAATTAATATATTTAAACGTATCATCGTAAACATTCAATCATACACCACAAACCCATCATATAATATAGGTTTGGATAAACTAACAGACCCATGAGGGTGGCCCTGTGCCTGAGGACCTCCCGACACACCCGATTGAGCGGCCTTGCTGGTTGTAGTTACTACACCTTTCAGCAAATATCTGGTGGTGGTCGACAAAGTTGTGGA